AAGAGAGAAGAGGGCCTGCTTCTCCTAGATTATATGCAAGATTTTCCTTTTTATTTGGTTAAGTTTAAAAAGAAAAATTATTACTTTGTTAATACTGAAATCTTTGCACATTAACACCTCATGCATTGATGTATGACCAAGTTTTTGGAGCTACACTTGGTGCCAATGAAGTTTTACAGACTGGTGCAACTGTCAATTACAGATTTAACAGCAGAAATAACTTCACTGGAACAGTATTAGCCCCAAAACAATGTGTTAAGAGAGCAGGCTGGAAAGTGTTTATCAGGAGGGGGAAGTGGGGGGCAGGACATGGGACAGGGGTATGACACAGAGTATCTTCAAAGTTACTCCAGTGAAACCAGAAGCTGAGCAGCTTTATGAGCAACATAAGTTCTGTATTACAGCTGCTACAGATCCAGCAGAGGGAGCACAAGTGTTTTGCTTTACCCCAAAGTCACTGAAATACTTTGAAAACCAAATGATGTATATTTATGCACAGACCTCAAGTCCAAATAGATTCAGATGTTTTGTACAGAACTGTAGATTTAAGCCTGAGTCTCCAATATTCTTTTCAATTTAAACAGAATTCTGATGAAAGATCTCCCAACCCCTCTTTATAAATTCACTGGCTTCTCTTCCCTATTAAGAAAAACTTAACCTGCAACCTTCAATCATGGCTCCCTAACTCACCCCCACACATTTCCCATTTTAGAGGTGTTCTTCTTTAGAAGCTCGGAGAAAAACACCAATTTCAGCATGGTTCCACTCAAACACATTCCACTCAAGAAGGCAGTAAGGCAATTCCCTCATCCTACTAATGGAGAGCTCCTCCACCCCAGGCTGTTTGACTAGGAACTAGTTTTCTTCTAATGAAAAGTTAGAAGTACTTCAGTAAAAAAATGCGTCCCTCCTTAGTTCTTCAGATGCTTGTCAGTCATGCGTTTCAAGTACCAAGTCTCAAGTTTTTTCTTGCATGAAAAGCCTAGGAAAAAACCAGAATCTACTGCATAAAACCCATCCAGACTTCAGCAGAGCATATTCACCAGACAAAATTTAAAAAAAAAAATAAAATTGTTGTCTACAGTTATAGTTATCCTCACTGTCAATTGAGCAGGCCTTGTCTGCTTATCCCATAAATGTAACATGCATGTTTAGGTACACTAACACTCTGTATATATCCACAGAAAGTTACAATTCTGTAGTCTACAAGTACTATTCAGCACATGCTTTACCTGTCACATTACTCAAAAGCAGTGAAGCTATAGATTATGAGTTTACCTCAGCTATCACTTACCAAGTTTTTTATGGCATGTATGCCACATGAAATTTGTATGCCAGCAGCTGCAATGCTGCATGTTTCATTTTTAAGAAGCCCAGCTATACAGGTAGTCAAAAAAATGCAGGGAGGAGTAGAACACAACACATGCAGAATGCCACTATACAAAGTTTCAAGGTGAGAAAATAGTTCTACATTGCTAGACTCCTTAACATTTAAGTTGTTTAGCCCTCCTCTTTTTGTCCAGTGCCATCTAATATGAGGCCTTAGATTCAGTTTTGAACTCTAACTCTTTCACCTACCCGATTGGAAGGAGGCATTCAAATTAGGTGAAATTCCAATTCACTATGAGGAGGCAATTAAGCACAAACAGCTGAGCTCAAATTCATCTAGCCCTCCACTGCTGACTGACTGGTAAGACCCGTAAGCCTGCTCAACCTCCCCACCCTATTTCTTCTGCACCAGCCTGCTTAAAGACTATCTATTTGCACTCTTAAGAGAACAACAACATCCATCCATGCCAAATGACAGACAATCATTTCAGCTGTGTATGTTTGGACTAAGACTAGTGCTGCACAGGACCCAGAAGTGACTTGCTCATATCACACAACCAACCAATTCAGCCCCACCACTCTTCAGAGCCACATAATCTTTGAGCCAATGCCACACAGCGCACGATAGTTGCATGTAATTCTGCAGAATGAGCAGTCACTTGAAACATCAGCTGCAAACTGAAGATCCAATTTCACAGGAAGAGGGAGAAAAAAAAAAATCTTCAGCATCTTCCACTTTTATTCTCAGCAAAATAGATGACTACACACATTTGCTAGCCAAAACCATCGAGTTGTTCTTGGCTTCAAGCAGCTGTAGAATTTTGGGGGTGGGGTGGGGGGTTTGGGGGTTTTTTTTGTTTGGTTGGGGTTTTTTTTAAGCACAGCAGTCAGAAGTCGAAAGGTAAAAGGTTTAGCAAGGTACAGAGAGTTCCTGAAGAATTTGGCATCATTTTGAAATTAGATCATTTTGGATTAATCAAGTGATATTCCTTTGATTAACTGATGGTAATTAAAATATGCAAATCACAAGATACTGCATCTATACTGCACATGTAAAAGATTGCAAGACAAAACACAGGAATGACCTAATGTTATTACAGTGAAATTGGGTGACAAAAAAATTGAGTAAGCACTCATCACTTAAATGTCACAAAATTACATCACTGGATCTCTTCACTTTTATTCTGTAAGTGGGTTCCTGAAGACTAGGAAGCTTTGTTTGTTGATAGCCAAATTATATACCTCTATTACACTGAGGCTGACAGGGATTTCTGTGTGAATAGCAATTTAGAAAAAAGTAATCCTTAAAATACAAACCCCTCAAGATTCAAGATGTCTATTATAAAGACCATCATGAACAGAAGTTGCCTGAATAAATTAAAGAATATTTTGTGTGTTGAAGTGTGTGTGTATTTTGGTTTGTAGAAGTGAAATCTGTTTTGCTTGTACACTAAAAATAAGCAGAACTAGTTATGGATCTCCATAACTGTGTTGTATTACCCAAGCTCACATAGCAGTGTGTTACCTGCTTTAAGAGACATCCATAGCAAAAGCATGTTTATACATACATACCATCTAAATAGGATGCACCTGGCATTTACCATACTATAAAGTAGTGAGAAAAGTCACTGATCTGCTAAAATACATCCAGCCATTAACAGGTCATGTTTTGAGTCCCTGAATGTTTTCTATACAAGTCCTTTACTGTAGCACAACTCCACTACTTATTGGTCAGATGAGTAACACCATAAAGATCCTAAGCAACCTAAGCAGGGAACAGGGTATTTAGTGACACTGTCATATCAAAAGGACAGATCAGCCACCAACTACTGAATCCAGTATTCAGCCAGCAGTTTGAAGACTTGAGGTGATTCTGTAAAATCCCTCTTTCACCAAGACAACAGAACTAATATTATTTATAAGTAAAAAACAAGTGGTACATAAAGTGAGAGTTAAACTTGCTGTTATTTTTCTTCTTAGGAGAAGCTTTCCAACAAATTAATGTCTACTCTACTACTGCTGCTATAAGCATAGCTGAGGAAAAATATTGTATAGATAGCTAGTGCATATGTGTACACAAATACACACACTTCTGTATATATATAAATACAGGCATATACAGAAGTACGTTACTTCATGTATTATATTTAAATCACAGTAATTAAACAGATGTATTGAAAATGCATACATATACCTATAGACATCAAACCAGATAGATAGAAATCATATATGTATTTAAAAACAATTCTAAAACAAACACACACAAAAACCCCAAAAAACTACCTTTTTCCAAACTTTTTTTTGAGAAACTGCTTCGTTTATCGAAGCAAGTTGTTTACAATCATCCAACAGGATGACATCAGCCCATCTGACTTACAAAACTGTCAGGTTGCCAAAATGAAACATGTTAAGGTTGCCTATTATTTTTCTCTAGGAGGTACTACAGCAGCAAGTCAGACAAACAGCTTTTAGCAGACCATAATTTTGAACGTTATCAGACAGGCTAAAAACAGCAGCTATAGTTAACTTACAAGATTTTCATGCGGTATTAGAACAGGCTTTCTGAAAGAACTTTTGAAAAACAGCATAGCCCACTTAATCAAATATGATTTTATGTTAAAATTAGTAAGCGTTTAGCGAGCACATCACCTGCCGTTAGTAGCCATTCCAGATGCCACTAAAGTAAACATACCTGGTTGTGTTCAACAACTCTTCTTTGTTTGAGTGCTACTGGAGTCTTTGTCCTGGCTTTCAATGGTTCTCTCTTCTCAAGCCTCATCTCAGACTTCAGATCTGTAACCAGTTTTAAAATAACTAGTTTCTGTAATACTACTGGTTGTTGTACTAGTTTAAACTAATTGTATTTTAATAAAAAATAATTTTAAAAGGCAACGTAACTGTCATGAGTTACCATTTCCTTAAAAAGTTGTGAGATACAGGTAAGTTTCTCCACTGAATGTAGAGCAAAAGACTTTTGAAGAATAACCTTAAAAATTATTTTAAAACACTGACCCAAGTATTTCAGTTTTGTCCTAAAAATCCTACATTTCAGGTAAACTTTGACCAACCGCAAAGTTCCATTTAGAAACTGGTATCACATTGCAATTACTTTAAACCAAAGTACCATTATACTATAGACTGTATTAAGGGTATTGAAGCTCTTCAACACTGTTTAGGCTATTAATTTAATTTCATTCAAAATAAGTCCTTTTATATAGAATTCCTTTTTGATGCAGAAGAAGGGTCAGTGGTTAGGAGTCATCTTACCAGTAAGAGGATGTATTATTCCCACACCCTTTTTAAAATTCTAACAGCACTACACCAACATATTTATTTATAGAAACTTTTTTTTTTTTTGGCATGTGGGAGTGTTTGGTTTTGTTCCCCCCCCCATTGTTTGAACAGTTTGGTAATTAGATTAAGCATATCTAAGTATAAGGAGATAGCTGTCAGTTGTGACCGGGCTCTTGGCTGTCCTAAAAATAAACAAACAAACCTCTAACACCCATCCCTCCCCTCCAAAAGTACAAGAGATTAAAGTTCAAAAACAAGCCCAAATATGCGTGGGAGATCCATTGAGTTCCTAGGTGCATTTCAACCTGGAAGTTCCTATTTAAAAAAAAAAAACAAAAAAACAAAAAACAAAACCAAAAACCAAAACAAAAAACCCACACCACCACCAAACCCAAACCACACAAAATAAGCATCTTCTAACATTCCAATCAAGACACTCTTTAAAGCCTACACTGTTTTTACTTTTTGTAAGATGTATGAGTGTATGGTTTAGGTTCCACTTTCCCCACTCCTATACTTTTTTTGATATAAATTTGGTATCAAAACCCACGCCCAAGACCAATCGACCCACTCCAAACTATGGCCATAAGGAACAGAGCATAGAAGGGATTGAGTCATCATATATGAGAGACATTAAACAACATGAAAAGTACAGAAGTTTAATAAACAAACATTCATACACTATCCCACAGTAAAGATAACTACCATAAGCACCACAAGACAAAATTGCACTTGCACTTAAAGATGAAGCGCAAAGAACACTGGAACACTTCATACACAGTTCTCCTACCTATCAGATTTACAGGCTCCAATCTGGGGAAAATGGACAAGAGGGAACAGTTTAGTAGCAAAAAGTTTCCTTTCCCAGAACAGGCACCTGGATCACTGTGCTAGTACTGCATGATCAAGTACATGACTTGCATGGTCTACAGCAGTTTCTTAAAGTCTCACCTAACAGCAAGATCACACCCTCATTAGATATTTCTTCTACTGCGAATATTACCGATGTATAGTTTGAATAGTTCACATGCAAGTTCCATTTAAGTCTTACCTTCTTCATTGTCACTGTACTGGTCAGAATCATTATTTCCATTCTGTCTGGTGTTCTCAGCAGTTGAGGAAATCGCTGGGAGAGGCACAGGTGCCTTCAGTTCTGGACCTGGCTCCATCAGTTTCAACAGTTTTTTCTCATAAAGTTTCCTAGTAGTAGCTATAACAAGGAAGGATACATGCTAAAGATACAGTTTTCATCTTTCCTTGATTGCTAGAACTTGGCTGTTATATGTTCCTTGGGAATCTCTGAATGTATGTTTTTTTTATTTTTAATCCGTCTGTATGCCCCAAAGCATATACCTCTAGGTAATACAACTCTACCTCTAAGGCTTCTAAGTTTTTGGTTTAAAAGAATTCTGAAGATGAACTTAGACCTGTTAGCACACGAAAAGTTACAAGCATTTATCTATGGAAAGGGAAGTTACCTGCTTCTTAGCCGTTTTGTTTCATATGCTGCAATATGCCAGTTGCTACGCCCTCACAAAAAAATTAGTGAGATTGTTATTGCAAGGGCAACAGTTGCAGGTTCAACTATTATCCTCTTAATCCCTTTACCCTGGAATTAACACCCCTTCCCCTGTAGTTTAACCTTTGCCCTGTTGACAAATTCAGTCCAATCAGCATCAGAGGTGTTACAGGTAAGCAGCAACAACAGAACTTCCTGTTGCTGCACCTAGCCATCAGATTGGCTCATTTGATCCAAGAGGACAGCTGTTTAAAACTAAAAGGTATCAAGTCTAGCTCATACTTCCATGTGAGGACTGCTGACAAAAATATATAGAGGTGACTGGTGCCCGAACTGTTAGCTGCAGAAAGGTCTAACCATGTAAGATTTCAGGTAAGAAGCAGCCACCCTCAAAAAGAAGTGGCAGACTCACAAGAAACAGAACCCATACCCTGTAAGAACTGAAGCTTTTACTTAGACCAAATTTGAACATCTTTCCAGTGGACTGCGTAGGTACTTGAATTTTCCAGAAGACTTGAGTGCTATCCAAGAGGGATAGCTTAAGCCAGAAGGCATATAGAAACAGCTAACAAAATATTATGCAGAAGACTTGAATACACACAGACCTCCAGGCTCTATCACTGACATTTCCACCCACCCAGGATTTCAAGAACAGAAGGCTCAGCACAGTGCAGGTGACCATCATTTTTGAAGAGTTGTGAAATCAAAGTCCCTGGCCATTAGGCTAGTGCACAACCTGAAAGGCAAGGAGCTTTGATCCTACGTCACAGATGAGTGCCCAAGGCAGGAGATTAAGCTGGTGTCAGGGACTTCTGACGTAGGGTAGCATGCACAATAGAATGCTACGTTCAAGGGGCCAGAAAAAAATTAGCAAAGGAAAACATTACTGCACAACGCAATGAGTAGGAAATGCTCTAGGAAAGGGGAAGTTCCACGTTCTCATTCTGTTCTCGATGCTATTAGCTTATTATGTAACGTGCATTTTCTAGTTAAGCAGGCCCCAGATCTCAACCTCTGTACCAGAAGACCTAATTACCCCAGCGCTGAACTTCAGCAGTTACACAGCTTCAGAACAGAAGCTGGAATATCTCCAGCTGGCCTAGAACACAAGAGGAACAAACTGTGGACTTCGCTACACTGTAAAGGCTTCAAGTCTTCTCAATGTAAACAGTTCAATGAAAACATCTTAAGTGGGAAGTGGGATTGTAACAGTATTGATACTAAACTTAATAAGCAACTGTATCAGAGAAGCTTAGAGTACTCAGAACTGAGGCTTAGTGAGAAATATGTTGAACAGATTAATATTTGCTAGTTCAGTTGACCTACCTACAATCGGGCCAGGATTCAGTCCATACTTCATAAGTTGCTCTTGAAGATCTTCATTACTCATCTCTGTTATATCTAGGTCATCCTTCTCCTCTGGCCTGGGTTTGTCAGTTTTCTTCGTGGCTTTCTGTGAGTGTGTAAGGGAGAAACAAGAGACAGAGTGTTTCCACTTAATACAGAACACATCTTTTTCTTCTAAGGGAACAGAAGATACAGAAATCCTAAACGTACAAAACTAGAAAAGTAATTACATTCTCCCCATCCTTCCCACAGTAAAGCCTATGAGAAACACTTCAAACATTTACACCTACCAAACATGCACAAGTTTCCTCCTTATATAAGGAAATACCCATTACAAGACTCCTCTATATTAAAAAAAAAAATCTTGCTCATTATTCTGATCCTGTGTTTTAATTTGAAGTTCAAGTATACAACAGGAGAGTATTTCTTTCCTATAACTGGAGAGGTAAGCTTCTAGCTGTTTCGCTATCACTACTTTAAAGCTACAAATATGTATGTTCCATTGGCATTTCTTCAAATCATTCTTATACCTAGTAGGTCAATAGTTCTTACTCCAATGATGTGGAATAAGTTCTTCAGTAGCCACACCCTCTGAACCAGGTTTCCAAAATCCCCATTCTCACTTATCCTGGTGTCTCTCTAAGATAACATGATGTTACAAAGCAAGCGCGGAAAGGCAAAACAAGAAACACCCTTACATTTTCAAAATCCTGCCTGTCTGCTTAGGCCGCTGCTACTATAGCTCTAACAAATCTTAAACCCAACTCTGGCAACACTACTTGAACAGTTGGCAACACACCACCACCACATACAGATGGTTATCAAAATAATCTGCCAAGATGCTACTCTTAAATTAGCAGTTTCCGCTATATCCAAAGAGAGTAATCATAACATTTGTTCAACTTGGGAAGCCTTTGTTACTACAATAGACATTTCAAGCTCCAAGGTCTGCAGAAGAGCAAGGAGGTAAGACAGAAAAATATATGCTTAGGATCTGTTTGCTCTCAACTAAGAAAGATCTTGATACTGCTTTAAAATAAGTCATATTTGTATCTCAAAGTTGTAGGATATAAACAGATAGAACTACACTTAACATGTTTCTCAACTTTGCTGTGCAGAGGGCCTATCTGTGTTTTCTAGTACTTACCAAAGACTAAAATTCCAAATACAAGTATGTTATAACACTTGGTCACAATCAACAGGGGGTTTTTTTGTTGTCTTTAGTAAGGTAGCACTAAAAACTATAAGAAGACTGACATGAGTCAACAGTATCTAGCTAACCAGTAACGCCAGATCAATACTGGTTTGCATGCAGCTTGGTCTTGCCTCAAGTGTCTTGATGTTTAAGAGGTATAGAGAGACTGTATGAGGATTTCTTAAATATAACTGACTCCCTAATTAAATTAATTTTCCTTTAACACCTGGACTGTGAAAAACCCAGCATGAAGAACTTAAAAAATCAGCTGTTGAAAAGCAGAGTCTCTAACAACTCATATTTCTTAATTCTAACAAATAGACTCCAAGAAATCTGATGAAAGGATAGGATCACTAAAGTGGCAGATTTGACTAATGACATTACTTTATCATTCCATTCCTTTATCACATAAAAAAATGAATTAGTTTTTCAAGCAATTGAGCCTATTCATCTAGTACACAAACCCAACCAACCTGCAGCTATACCAGACTTGCGTTTACTTTTGAATGTGTTGGTCATAACACTATTTCAAGTTAACTATCACATTAACAAGAACTTCATATTTGTGCATTTTTTTCTGGACTACTGAACTGTCCAAACAGTGGAAAAGAGTTCCGAAACATATGCCGGGTTTTCTTGTTGGGATCTGTTGACAAGACTATTGACAGTTCTGGTGTTTGCACACATCACCAAGCAGATCACCTAAGATGCTACTTCCATATTTCAAAGAAAACAACTACCATGGTGCAGGAGATCAACATTCCAATGGCACTTTAGAGAAACCAGAAACTTAATTTAACATAACTCTGCCTTTGTGTCACTTAGAGGCCACAGAAGAGACTATAGTAACATACGCCAGAACTACTCAGCATTCTACTAGACATTTTACCAAAATCTTAACTACCAGAAATCTAACTGCAACTAATGAGTAATACGGTCTTCTAGCCCAAGTAAACAGACATATCTCACAATATCTTCAGTATTTTCTTTTTCTTCCAAGCACCATTTCACTTTTTCATGCAGTATTACTACATGTTGAGACTATCAGAATAGCCAGTTTCAGCAGAGAAAAAGGGCAGGGAGGGGATGAGAAGTCAAAGGTAATCAGTGTTCTTCAATATGGCCAGATGCGTTGACTATCTTGTGTTCTGTGAGGTCTTCAACTTATACTTCTGAATACCTACTCTCCTTCAAGCAGAAGCAAAACACTGCACCTGTACAAGTAGAAAGCTGCCATTTAACCACTTCCTGAACCACAAGATCAGTCTCTACAAGCGTAAGGCAGGGTAGAAGAATTTCTCTTATACCTTGACTGTAGTATGACAGCATGAACCTCGGCAACAACACGAGCTTTAATTACCACTACTATTATAGTATAAAGCACCACGACACTTTCTGTGCACCATCACATGGGACTACCCTGAGAGACTGACCAAGAGAGGTAGCTTTAAAATTTATCATTGCAAATTAAAATTAAACAAAAAAAACACCCCCAGCCACGTTTTCATGATCCGGTGACCATTAGTAAAATTAAAGTTGTCTTACTGCAGTGCAGAGGTGAAGCGCTGAAAATGAAATTGTGGTGAACACCAGGATTTGCCAAAGGTGGTACAGCTGACCATTTTGCATGTCATGTAAATATGTTTGCAACGCTACACCCCGACCAATAAATCCTTATCTGAGTATCTTCTAATTCCATCCAGAGCTAGCAGCACTAAAAAGGTATTCTAGAAAATGGCAATGACTAGAAAAACAGGGGATGGAAGAGGATCTGCATTTCACTTCAAATTTGTTCACACCAAAGAAATAGCAGTTTGGTGGTGGTATCTGTCAGGCTCAGTTTCAGATTAACTAGGACCCAACCCTTCAAACAAGTTCTGAAGTGAATTATAAGCATGGGGCTCCCACACAGCATTCTCAGTTCTAGGGCCACAGGAAAACAAGCGTAAGAGAATTTAATCTTCTCAGAGGGTCATCTCTCCACAGCAAAAAGCTTTCACCTCCTTTCACTAATGACAGACACAGAAGAGGGAAGTCCACAGGCCAGTTTACCAGACAAACTTTACAGCTACCTTTACTAGTTCTAGCACTACTCCAAACACAACAAGTAACATCTTGAAAAAGCCATTAAGTAATATAACAGACAACTATTGCATGTCACCCAAAAGAAGCATTTTCAAATCCCCAGTTAAATGGCACCTACATTGGGATATTCAAGGACTTTAATCCCAAACAGGTGCAGCGTCATCACTAGAAACAGAAAGGCTCAGGGCTTCTTTACTATTTCTCTGAATGAGGTTAAGACAGGCTAAGAAAGCCCAAATCACGCCAACAGAATGCTCTTTAATTCTCCGGTTTGTACAGTGTCCTCCCTGGTAACAAATAACAGTATTTCTCCTGGGGGAAGGGAAGGAACTGCACATGACAAGTCTCAATAGTAGACTTATACTGCAAAATACAGAGGTGTCTATTGCCCTTGCACTTTATTCTATCATACACAAACATTTCCTGCAGTAGAATTTTTTTTTTTGAAAACCAAGTCCTACTGAACTTTTTAATCTCAAACGCCTTGAGACAATATTTACCAAAAGGTACAGGACAGACAAAATAAACAATGGAAATTATGCAGCAGTAATTCAAAGATACTGATACACTCAACTTTAAGAATTCTCTACCTTTCAACCTTAGTAAGTGCCAGACTTAAGAGTTCCCAAGCCTATGTACAGTAACAATCCTAAATTACAAGATTACGGACTGCTTAACCCTTCCACCCTCTCCTACCCCCCAGACATGAAATTCCATGTTACTCAGTGAAGGGAATGTACCCACTCTGAAAACAGTTGAATGCTGCATAATGAAGAGTTGTTTCCAGAGAACGTAAGTGAAAGCAAAAATTCACAACAAAAAACAAATCAAGAAACCAAACTAACAGATGGTCTCATGGCTCAATCAACTGAATGCTGACCTGGAGATCTGGCACGTGTATGCATCCCCACTGAACAACTGGCATGTACTGCTAGACAAAAATTACTTCAACAGGACTATTTTATTTAAATATAACTGCCTTTATTACACCAACACTCTAGCAAGAATGTCTCCCTAGTTCATGAGACTGCAGAAAGTCTGAAGGTGCAGAACAGCATGGCAAAACCTCTCACTGCAGCAGGAATTACTCAGTCACCTCACCCCTACTGCCCACAGCTGTCACTCAGACCACAGATGAGTGCCATTAAAAAGGCCACAAAGGTGCTAATTTGTATTCTGGGTCACATTTGTACAGCACATCATAATTAAGAGACACAGTCACACAGGAAACACCAAATAGATTCTCTTCTTTCAGCAGGTAGCATATATACTTTACATTCTCTCACCTATCCTATCAGAGCATACAGTTTCACCTTCCACGCTCCTAATGTTCATACAACTACAAGTTTTTACAATTACCTTCCCTGTACTGGTATGGAAGGGGGTGAAACCATACAGTTACCTCAGCAACAGATATCATCACTACCACACCATTCTGACCATAAAGAGCTGAAGCTAGCTCTTAATTTACTTGGCTACTTGATTAAAACAAAAAAAAAAAAAAAAAATCTTTACCTGATAGGTCTGTTATATAAACTTTCAGACAAGCCTTTCAGGTCCAGATGCTCTCATTAACACAAGTGAGGAGGAGACATCTGATTGATCTTTTTCAAATCACCACTTTAAAGGTCAAAAATATCACTTGGTGTTTTAAAAGATAGTCTTCCAGGACATAAAATGCACCAATAAGCTAAGTCATAAAAACCTACGCATTCTGAGCTCTGAACAGCTCCTGTTTGGCAACAATGTCAGGATGATATTTTTTGGTATGTGCTTTAAAGCAATGCTCCTAAAGACGCAAAAATGCCATTTCATAGTTATTTTTCCTTTGAGCTATCTGTCCTGATATTC